TTCCGTCATATTCATGGAACAAGCGAGTTCAAATAATGTGTCAGCACTGTTGCTACACCCGCCCGGGGCAGAAATTCACTCCCCATTCTCATGCTAAAATAGTTCCCTGGCCCTGAAATGAATTCACAAGTGCAGTTGTTAAATTCAGTCAGAAAGGCTGCAAGAACATACCTGTCCCACCATACCCCAGACAGGAATCAAAACTGAGAATAAATCAGTAAAGTATTTCAGAACCCCAAGCGCATTTTCCTGAATTCTGTTCAGTAAAGAGATAAATAAAGGCTCAAGAGTGATGGAAATGGTGCCTGCATGTGCATACATGTGCATGTTGGTGGGGGGGAGGGGGGGAGAGAGTGAGAGACCAGATTTTAATTAAAGTGTATTTAATGTCTTTGTGTACTATACTTGTACTTGGAGTATACCATTTTATCTCTCTATTTTATTTTCCCTGCAACAACATCCTTGTTATCAAGAATCTCATTAATGACATGTCGCTCTGGGAGCCTTACAGTCTTTTTTATCACAGGATCCACAAAGAGGGATTTAGTTGTTCCTTGATAGAGAGCAGAAACTGTGTCAGCTTGGATAATGCTCAGTATGTGTGAGCCTGAAGAGGGAGAGGCTAATGAGAGGGACTTACCTGATTTCATTTGGGGTGTCTTCTTCTTCATATCTCTTCTTTTCCTTCCTCTTCATAGTCAGCCGCACACTCAGCAGAATCAGGCACAATCCCACCAGCCCCCCAGTCACTGCTCCAGCAACCATCCCGATATTTTGTGCATCTGTTATACCAGAAAGTAAATGCATGCAGGTTGGGAGATTGTCTCTGGAGTCATATGGTCAAGTTCTACCCAGGTTCCATTCATTGTTGGCAATGGGATTTCATGGGGGTAAGTTAGAACACAGTTTATTTAATCAATTTATTCCGGCCTTGTCTGCGGTCAGAGGTAGCACAGAATACATTTAAACTGATTTTTAAACCTCGCACAGCATGGTTGCTGCCATATTGGGGAGGGCATGCAACTCCAACAGCACTGAACAAAAACTGGGGTGCTCATGATTCAGGCCAGCATTTAAACAGGGAGAGGACCTCTGATCAGCATGACCCCAGAGCAGAAGGGGACGTGTGGGTAAACAGACAAATCAATCCTCCGTAAAGCAAAGCAGCGTGAGGACTGTTAGAGGCAAACAGTTTCGTTTTTATGAACAGGTATGTCCATATGGCCAAAATGAACTCTGTCCAAGTGCACAGTGGATTATTTTATTCAGAAAACAGAACTAGATTTAAAACAAAACAAAATAAAACCTGTATGGACAGCAGGCGCTTTCATAAAAAAAGTTAATGTAAGAACACCTCCCTTTCTAGTTTCAATTGAGCCAATGCATACCCCAATTTCTTTCAATTTAGGGGTGACTTATTTTGGCTTTGCTGAAACTTGTGTCTTTAGGGCTTATCTACACACACAGTTGTGCCAGCTTAGTGAGATTTTAAACCAACCGAGTTAAAATACCGCAAAACTGGTGCTGGGTGGACTCTTTTTTCAGTTCAGCCCATCTGCTTCAGGTTAGCTTACGTCCATTATGATGGATTTAAATTAAACTGCTACTCATCAACTGAACTAAGTGTCTACAATTGAGGTAGCATCAATTTAAGGTGCAGGCACGCACACCCCCCTCTCCCGCTCTTGATGCTGTAGTAGCCAGGTGTGATATTCGGAGCTCTGGTCTTTATGCAGAAGTCATCAAATATGTATTTAAAGCAAATGAGGCAAATGTCACTTTCAATCAGCATATTTTTTGTTTCAGAGTAAGTCTTTGCAGGCAGTTTTTTGACAGATTCTTCTCTTAATTGGCATAGATGCTTAATTTGGAATCAGGAAGATAGACAGTCTGCAGAAATGTTATAGTTAACAGGAATCTACTGCACAGTTGTTAACACTGTAAATACAACCACCAGAGAAGCTGCAAGCTCCACAATTCAGGTTTATTCCCAGTGCCTTGTCAGGCAGTTGTTCACAGAGGCAGAGCCTTTAAGGACCCAGAGTGTCCGTGCCCGAACCATGTTTATTCTACCCCAGGTTATATCAGTGAATGTTAAACAAACTTATAAAGTGAATTAGAGAGCAAGGAGGAGGTGCTGCAGATTATGCAAGTGCTAAAGTTAACTCAAAGGTGTGGCAAGAGTCTTGCACAGGCATGGG